GGATGGGGGGAGGGCTTGGGGGGTGTACGGCTCCGGTGGGATCACTGGGGAAATGGGTGATGATGGGCTGCGCTGGGGATGGGCTGTGGCAGCCCCTCTGCTCACCAACCCCCACAGCCTTTGTGTGTGTGGGGGGGGAAAGTGGGAAAACTTAAGGAAACTTAAGGAAAACATGATTCAAAGGAAAGAGAGGGGGGTCCCGCTGGAAAACTTGGAAATGCCACCACTGTTTCAGAGGTCGGGAGCCTCCCGCTGCCTTGTGGTCCCACGTGAGAGCAGGAGGCTCCTGTGGGGAGAGGAGCTCCACGGTGGGGACCGTGTGCCGGTGCCGTGCTGCGGCATCACTGGTGTAACGGGGATTGCCCGGCCGGCACCGTGCCGGCTGCTCTGCTCAGCACTGCCTGAGGAGCTGCAGAGACATGGGAAAACAGGGGTTTGCAGAAAGTTGGGTTATTTTCATTTTATAAATTACTTTAAAAATAAATTTTATTTTTAAAAAATATTTTAAATATTTTAAAATATTTTAAAAAATAAATTTTCATTTTATAAATTACTTCAGAAAAAAAAGAAGCAAACAAACTCAAAAAATACCCCAACAAGTGCAAGGCAGAGAGGTTTTGGGAGCCTGGAAAAAAAATCACTGGCTGTGAGAGGGGGCAGTGTGTGGTGCAGGGGGGTCAGGCAGGGGCTGGCAGCGTGGTGGGGCCGGGTGATCCATCTCCCTGAGAAATTGTCTCCTCCTGGAGTCTTCCTCACTCAGCCCCGACCGCCCTCCGCCTCTGCCCTCCCAGACACGTCTGCCTTTCCTCCTTCCTCCTCCGTGGGTGATGCACCGAGACGTGGGTGACAGGATGGTTATTTGTAGGACTCCCACGCCTCTCCCCACCTTTGGCCCCAGGTCCTGGCCCCATACGCGCTGCCGCAGCTCATAAGGAAGCAGAAGGGGATTCCCTGCCCAAACGCCCTCCGGCTGCACCCACACCTGAGGGCTGTGGGGTGAGGAGGGGTCCTGGGCCGGGGTCCCTCACGAGGCCGTGGCTTTCCCCTGCAGGCAGCCTGGTTGGGCATCAACATCTTCCTCTTCACGTACTACTTTCTGTTCTTTGACCAGGATGACCATTATTTCTACACCAGGGCCATCCTTGGGGTAAGGTGCCCTCCTTCAGTGGGGTGGGGGGCTGCAGCACCCCATATCCCCTCCTTGTCCTGCCCTCTTCCAGCCCAGTATCTCTCCATCCCAGTCCCCAGCCCAGCATTTCTCCATGCGGGTCCATCTCTCGGTCCATGTCCTGTCCCAGCCCAGTGTCTCCTCACCCCAGCCCAGCACCACCCTCTTTCAGTCCCCCTCCTCTCCCTGCTCAGCATCACCCCCTCCCCGTCCCCCTCTTCTTCTGGCTCAGCATCACCCCCTCCCAGTCCTAAGCCCAGCATCCCCCAGCCCCAGTCCCAGCTCAGCATCACCCCCTCCCAGTCCCCAGCCCAGCATGTCCCAGTCCCAGTCCCAGCTCAGCATCACCCCCTCCCAGTCCCCAGCCCAGCATGTCCAGTCCCAGTCCCAGCTCATCATCACCCCCTCCCAGTCCCCCTCTTCTTCTGGCTCAGCATCACCCCCTCCCAGCCTCCAGCCCAGCATCCCCCAGCCCCAGTCCCAGCTCACCATCAATCCCTCCCAGTCCCCAGCCCAGCATCCCACAGCCCCAGTCCCAGCCCAGCATCACTTGGTCCCTGCTCAGCATCACTTGGCCCCATCCTGTCCCAGTCCCAGCGTGGCACCATGCTGGGCAGAGCCATAGGGGACAGCACGGGCACAGATGTGCCTGGGGGACAGCGGTGCTCACCCCCTGCCCTCTCCCCAGTCTGCCTTGGCGTGGGCCCGGGCATCGGCCAAGTGCCTCAACTTCAACAGCATGTTGATCCTGCTGCCCGTCTGCCGCAACCTCCTCTCCTTCCTCCGCGGGACCTGCTCGGTGAGTGTCCCGTGGTGGCACGGCCAGCCTGGCCATCCCCATCCCTGTCCCCATCCTGACACCACCCCCTGTCCCCGCAGTGCTGCCGGCGGACGCTGCGGAAGCAGCTGGACCACAACCTCACCTTCCACAAGCTGGTGGCCTACGCGCTGGCCCTCTTCACAGGTATGGCCCCGCGCCGGGCTGGAGCATGGTGGGGGGACCGGGAGGGGGCCAGGAGGGTGACTGCCTGTCCCCTGCCCAGCTGTGCACACCATCGCTCACCTCTTCAACCTGGAGCGCTACAACAGCAGCCAGCAAGCCACCGACGGCAGCCTCCCCGCCGTCCTCTCCAAGATGCACCTTCAGAACAACAAGTGGCTGAACCCCATCCACTCCAACGAGACGGTGAGCGCTGGCCCCTGGCATCCAGCCCCCTGGCATCCAGCCCCCTGCCACCGCCTGTCCCCTGTCCCCCCCCTAACCCATCCTACTGCCCCGGCAGACCGTCGAGTACGTGGCCTTCACCACCATCCCAGGGCTGACGGGGGTCATCATCACTCTGGCGCTCATCCTCATGGTCACCTCCTCCACCGAGTTCATCCGCAGGAACTACTTTGAAGTCTTCTGGTACACGCACCACCTCTTCCTCGTCTACTTCGCCGGCCTCGTCATCCATGGCATTGCGTAAGACTCCTCACCACCCCCCAAAGGTGGGACAGGGGGGCGATAGGAGGAGAGGGAATGGCTTTAAACTGCAAAAGGGGAGGTTGAGATGAGATCTCAGGAAGAAATTCTTTGCTGTGAGGGTGGTGAGACCCTGGAACAGGTTGCCCAGAGAAGCTGTGGCTGCCCCATCCCTGGAGGGCTTCGAGGCCCGGCTGGACGGGGGCTTGGAGCAACCTGGTGTGGTGGGAGGTGTCCCTGCCCAGGGCAGGGGGGGGGACTGGATGGTCTTTAAGGGCCCTTCCAACCCAAACCATTCTGTGATTCTATGACAATGAAGGGCACCAGCAGCAGACCCCCATGGGACAGCCTTGCCCACGCTGGGGGGAGCAGTGCAGCCCTGGAGGAGGTTCACAGGGGCTGTGGGGCTTTCCATTCCTGGGGCCAGCTAGCCCAGCTGGCTCCACGCAGCACAACCCTGGCCAGGGAGGGCAGGAGCTGGCCCCAGAGCTCACCCATCACCTTCCCACAGAGGGCTGGTGCGGGGGCAGTCAGAGAAGAGCATGGAGGAGGTGCACCCCCACCGCTGCGCCCAGTATCTCACACAGAAGTATGAGGACTGCTGGCACGACTGCTGCGAAGATCCCGAGTTCACCAGCATCCCCGCTGAGGTAGGGCAGCAGTGGGACAGCCACGGGGGAAGAAGCCCCCTTCCTTTGCCCTTGGGATGCTCCAGCGCTGGCTCCCCCCAACCCTTTGCTCTCCTCCATCCCCACAGTCCTGGAAGTGGGTTCTGGCCCCCTTCATCCTCTACGTCTTCGAGAGGATCCTCCGGGTCTGGCGCGCTCAGCAGAAAGTGGTCGTCACCAAGGTGGGTGGTGTGAGACCTCCAGCCACCTGCCAGCTCCTTGTCTTGCAGCCACCCGTGTGGCATCTCCTTGCCCTGGTGGCCATGGGGAGGTTGGCAGGAGCCCCTCCTGAAGCCCCTTGCCCAGGGACAGGAGCCAGGCTGGGCGCTGAGCCCCGTCCCCGTGCCACAGGTGGTCATGCACCCTGCCCGCGTGCTGGAGCTGCAGATGCAGAAGAAGGGCTTCCGCATGGAGGTGGGGCAGTACATCTTCGTCAACTGCCCCGCCATCTCCCGGCTGGAGTGGCACCCCTTCACCCTCACCTCAGCACCCGAGGAGGACTTCTTCTCCATCCACATCCGGGCGGCCGGAGACTGGACGGAGCGTCTCATCGACACCTTCCAGCAGGAGATGCCCAGGTAGGTTGGGGAGTGCCCGAATGGACCCTCCTGGGGATTTGGGGAGGCCGTACCTCTTACCCAGCCCCTCCCTCGGCCAGGATTGAGGTGGACGGCCCCTTCGGCACGGCCAGCGAAGACGTGTTCCAGTACGAGGTGGCCATGCTGGTGGGAGCAGGCATCGGTGTCACCCCCTTCGCCTCCATCCTGAAGTCCATCTGGTACAAGTTCCAGCAGGCTGACCCCATGCTCAAGACCAAGAAGGTATGGGATGTCCCATGGGACCAGCAGTGGGTTTCTCCATGCTGGGAGAAACCCACTGTCAGGGGGTCTGTCCCAGTCCTTGACGTTGCCATCTTTCCATCCCAGATCTACTTCTACTGGCTCTGCCGGGACACAGGAGCTTTCGCCTGGTTCAACGACCTGCTGGCCTCGCTGGAGCAGAAGATGGCCGAGTCGGGCAAGGCAGACTTTCTCACCTACCGGCTTTTCCTCACCAGCTGGAACACCAGCATCGTGAGTAGGGCACGGGCAAGCACGACTGCCAGGGGGACACACGGGGTGGCCGAGCTGGGCAGGAGAGGCAGGGCGAGTCTGCAGGCAAAGCCATGGAGCGGTTGGTGGGCAATGGCGGTGGGGGCTCCTCAGTGCTGAGGGACAGGAGATGGGTTTGCAGGTGGTGGCTGGGGTCTTCACTGTCCCCCACTCTGCCCAGGCCAACAACGTGGCACTGCACTTCGACAACACTACGGACACGGTGACGGGCCTCAGGCACAAAACCATCTTTGGGCGGCCCATGTGGAACAACGAGTTCACGGCGGTGGCTGCGGCCCACCCCAGGTGAGAGCTGGGCAGGGGACTCGGGGTGCAGGAGCCGGGAGGGACCCCAAAATTGTCCTCGATCCCTTTATCCGCGGCGAGCCGCCCGCCCGGCGCTGACATGCCCCATGCTGTGTGCAGGTCAGTGGTCGGCGTGTTCCTGTGCGGGCCACAGAAACTGGCAGAGAGCCTGCAGAAGTCTTGCCAGCAACACTCCAGCCTGGACCCCAGGAAGGTCAAATTCTACTTCAACAAGGAGAACTTTTGAGGCTGGGACCCTCCCAGTGCCAGAGCATGGCCAGGGATAAGCATCTCCTGAAGAGCACACGCACCGAAGCCGGCCAAGGCATGGGCAAGGTTCTCCTTCTTCTCCATGAGAAACTCCAGGTTCGAAGACTGATGCCTTCTTGACCCTACAAGGGTTCCCTCACGGGGGGAGCAGGCTTGCAGCTCCAGTTCCACCAGTAAAGAAGCTGCGATGCTGCTGGAGCAGCAGGAGTGCCCAGCAGGCTGGGCAGAACCACAGGACAGGGTTGGGGACGGGACACACCGGGGGCTTGAACTGCTTAATCCGGGTGAAAACAGTCCTTTGGGTAAATTAAACTTGTTTTTCCTTTGCAATAAAACCACGGAGGTGACTCAGTTGTGTGCAGGTGCGAAGGGAGCCCACTCCTCGCCCTCGTTAATTTTAAACCCCCTGGGGTGCAGGGTAAGGTGCCCCCAGCTTCCACGAGGGATTGCTGCCACCACCGAGCCACCCCAACCTTAGCCCCCAGGGACTCACCAGCACCCAGGCTCACGCCAAGGCAACAAATTCTGCAAAAAGATCCGCAGCAAGGAGGGGAAAAAGCAGCCTCAGGGAGCAGGCAGGGAGGTAAGCGATACAGCAATCGGATACGGGGCCCTTCCCGCCCCGCCGGCGGGGACAGAAAGCCGAGCTTCCCGTCCCTCACGTCCCCATGAACAGCTGTGACACGGCACAAAATCCCACGAGATCTCACCCCGGTGCTGGGGAGAGGGGAGGAAAGAGAGGGGTTCTGACTAGCCAAGGGCCACAAGCCAAGAGTCCCGCTCCAGCCTCCACCGGAGACCAAACAAGCCAAGGGGAGACATGGCTTTACTCAAACCCTCCTCCCGCTTTATTTCAAACATCATAAAATATACACACAGGAAAAAAAAAAAAGAAAAAAAAAAAAGGATGAATGGAAGGGGAAAATGTTGGGAGTGGCGGGGGGAGAAACCTCTCCCAAAACGCAGCATCGACTCAGACAGCGACGGGAAGCAGCTGCCGTGGAGCGTGTCCTCTGTCCAGGGGAGGGGATCTCCACCTCACGCCTGCAAGGAAGGGGGGGAGAGTGAGCCCCAGCACAGAGAGGGAAAGCATAGAATCACAGAATGGTTTGGGTTGGAAGGCACTTGAAAGACCATCCAGTTCCACTCCCCTGCCCTGGGCAGGGACACCTCCCACCAGACCAGGTTGCTCCAAGCCCCATCCAGCCTGGCCTTGAAGCCCTCCAGGGATGGGGCAGCCACAGCTTCTCTGGGCAACCTGGGCCAGGTTCTCACCATCCCAGAGTGAAAAATTTCTTCCTGAGATCTCATCTCAACCTCCCCTCTTCCAGTTTAAGACCGTTCCCCCTCATCCTGTGGCTCCCCTCCCTGATCTAGTCCCTCCCCATCTCTCCTGGAGCCCCTTTAGGGACTGGAAGGGGCTCTAAGGTCTCCCCAGAGCCTTCTCTTCTCCAGGTTGAACCCCCTCAACTCTCTCAGCCTGTCCTCACAGCAGAGGTGCTCCAGCCTTCCCAGCATCTCCATGGCTCCTCTGGACCCGTTCCAACACGTCCATGCCCTTCCCGTGCCGGGGAAGCCCCTCCTGAGCAGCTCTGGGATTGACTGGAGGGGAGCGGGCACAGGCTGAGGCTGGGTTAAGGACATCACCTGTCAGGGTGCCCCCGTGGACTTCTGGATTTGCTCCTTCAGGATGAGGATGCTCTGCCGTTGCTCCGGGGGCAGCATGGCGATCTGGTCCGCCGTCAGCTGCAGGACCTGCATGATCAGGGCTGCCTGTGGGGAAGAGGAGAGCATCAGAGATGTGTCCTGCCAGAGCACCCATGGGTTACCAGAGCCAGCCAGGGGCTGTTCCCCCCCAATGTAAGGCACATCAGAAATGCTGTCTCACCCTTTCCCTTTTGTCCACTCACCTTCTCGTGATCCTGGGGGGTGACCTGGCTCTGCCCAGGGCTAAAGCCTCCAGGCTGACCAGCTCCTTGGACCCCTGCCCCAGGAATGCCTCCTCCCTGCATGCCTGCCCCTGCCATGTTAGGAACCTGCAGGCACAAGAGAAGGGGTAAGGACACAAGGGGCTCTGGACTAAGCCACAGAAACACAGGAACATAAAGCAGATGATCAGATGGAAGCCTTCCCAGACAGCCTGAAGGTGCCCAAGCACAAAGAGAGACAGGTTACCATGTGTTCTATGTGCTCTCCTCTCCCTCCACCTCCTGCGCTCCTTCCTGTGCATCAGGAAGAGATGGAAAGAGGACCGAGCCTCATTGTGTCCCCAGCAGATGGGCAGTGCCTGGGGACATGGGATGGGTGTCCCAAACCCCTCAGAGAGCCCACTGACCCAGCCTTGGGCTTCTTGAAGGCACTGCTCTGCGGGATGCCCCCGCTTCTTTGGCTGCTGCAGGACACCATCACCCCCCCCCCGATGCAGCCCCAAATCTCCGAGACACCATCGGTGCCCAACCAGCTGAGCAGAGGTGGTGTGTGTACCTGGCGGGGCCCCTGCGGGCCACTGGCTCCCATGTTAAGTGGCCCAGGCCCCTGTATCCCACCAGGCATGGGGCCACGCGGGTTGGGCCCAGGCCCTCGAGGCTCCAAGCCCCGGGGCTCCATGACCCTGGCCTCCATGGCCCTGGCTTCCAGCACTCGGGGCTCCAGGACCCGCGGCTCCAGCCCTCGCGCCTCCAGGGCTCTCGCCTCCATCACCCGGGGCTCCAGCCCTCGCGGCTCCAATCCTCGTGGCTCCAGCCCTCGGGGGTCTCTTCCGACTGCGGGGGGAAAGACAAGGCGAGGCGTTGAGGGCAGCGGCGCGGCAGGGAGCGTGGGGGCAAGCCCGCTGCCACCTCTGCCCTGGGGGGGCTAGCAGAGCTGGGGGCAGAGGGGACCATCCCTTGCTCTGTGGGACTGTCCCTCCTTGTCCTGGGGTCAGCTGTTTTTCACTGCCCAAAAACCCCCTTCCTACGCCTCGCACCGGGCTCCACTCTGCCTCCTCCTCCTCCTCCTCTCTACGCTTTAAAGCCACCCGCTATTTCATGCCCCCTCTCTCACCTCGAGCATCCATCAAGGGCCCCCGCGGCTCTCCCATCAGTGGTCGGGGTTCTCCCATGGGTCCCCCCCTCATCTCATGGGGGGGGCCACGGCTGTCATGCCCAGGCATATGGTGCATAGGGGCTCCCTGGTGGGGCGGCCCAAGGTAACCTCTGACGCAGAGAGACGAGGAGAGCAAAGCAGGAGGGAGGAGAAAAAGCGAGAGAGTGTGAATCAGACGCTGGCTTGGCACGGGCTGGGCAGAGCGCTGGGATTGCCCCCGAAGCCGGCCATAGGGGGAGGAGGGCGAGGCTGGCACAGGGACGGGTGCTGTCGGCCCCACAGGGCTGCTGCCATCACACCGGGGATGCCCCATCCCCGGGGAAACGGGCCAGCCCCCGCGGTCGGCAGCACGAGGGCCTCCGACCAGGCAGCGGTGACTCCCGGAAGGCTAGTGCCATCCCTGTCCTCAGCCAGAGGTCACCCTTGGGCAGGGGACAGTGCCAAGGGCTCCTCTCCTTCCCTCTCCCCTCACCTGGGCTCCACTTCTCCAGTGACTGAGAGCAGGGTCCCTCCGCGAGGGTCATTCGGGGCATCTCCCAAAAGGCCTCGGGGTGGCGGGCCACTAGCAGGTAGAGGTCCACGCTGCATAGGGGCCCTCGGGTCTGGCATGGGCACTGCCAGGGAGACACACAAGAGCTGGTGAGGATCTGCATGACCCGTGCCGTGCCGTGCCTGTCCCCCAGCGCCCTCGGGGCGGCCTCGCTGCTCCCCAGCGCGCGGGCGGGCGAGCCGTGCCGACCACCGGGGACAACAGCCCCGGGCACAAGGCTGGAGCGCACCGAAGCCCCTGCCCTGGCTGCTGATTTCATCCCTCTCTTTCCCTCTCCGGCTCTACCTCAGGCTCCTTACGGCACCGGGTGGCCAAACCAAGCGTGGGTGCCCCCGTGGCCATCCCTACAAGCATGGGCATCAACACCCTGCTGATGGGGGGCCAGGAGCAAAGCAAGACCTGGAAGGCTCCTGGTAGCGAGGTGTCAAAGGGGACTGGATCCAAGGCAAAGGCCCTCTCTGAGCCCGCTTCTCCTTTTCCACTGGTGGCTCCCTGTGCGCAGCGCTAACGTTCCCTCCTCTGACCCTGGAAAAAATCCTGCCTCCTCCTAACCCTGAGCGATAGGCCAGTCCCCATCCCTGAGCACAAGGGGGGGTGAAATCTGCCTCTCTGCACACTCCACAACGAGCTCCGCGGGAGGAGGGAGCTGGCGGGTGCCGGGATACCTTGAACGCGTTCGATAGACGCAGGCCTGGCAGGTCCCACGGGCGAGAGCTGCAGGTTCCCTGGGCAAGCAGCAGGAAAAGAGGGAGAAGAGCAGACACGTAAATAGTGTATGCACACATGCACTCAGCCTCGGGGACAGGGCTGCCTGCAGGAACGCCTCCACTCCCTCAAGTCCCCTGGAAAACCTACGGAGAAGATGCTGCCTGCTGCGGGTCTGGCTTTATCAGCCTCTTCCACTAACGCCACCTCTGCCACCCCAGGCGTGACAGCCAGCTTGGCACGGCCCTTCCTTCACTCACGCAGGGCAGGAGAAGATCCTGCTAGGAGAATTGGCCTTCCCTGGGGCCACGCTGTGCCCCACAACACATGGCCAGTCACCTCCTGGCCCTGCCTGCAGCTTCCCATGGCGCTCCCCGGCGCCAGCTTTCCGACTGCTCTCCAAAACCTTCCGGGTGCCAAGAGCTACCAGTTTGCTCTCAGGAAGACGGAGCCCACCCCAAAGAAAATGCAAGTCAGCTGCCCCCTAAGTACCTAAAAAAACCAGAGGATCTCAGAACTGGCTTGCTGTGTTCCCGGTACAAGGCCTAGGATACGAGTCAAGGCAATATGGGCGCCAACTGCCTGTGTGTGCCTTATTACTGGGAGGACAGGAACGCCTTGGCTGTGCTAACCCCGGCGCGCGGCAACACGTGAAGGGTAAGGAATCCGGCTCCGGGGCTGGGCCGTACAGACCGTGCCTGCAGAGGGAAAGCCAAGCCATCACTCCCTGGGAAATTCCCTGCCGAGCCTCCTCCGACTCGCTGTGGCAAGCAAAAAGCAAAGACCCGGCTCCCTCTGCCGGGCACGGAGCGGGGAGACACGGCGGCGGCGGCGGCACAAGCTGCTTCCCCAGCACCCAGGCAGCAAAGGAGCAGGACAGGGACCCGAGAAGAGCAAGCTCTGCCTGCCCGCACAAGCACACACAGGAACAGACAGGGGCCCAGAGAGATGGAAAACAGCACATCCCACCCGCTGGGGCTCTGCAGGGACCAGCAGCTCTCCCCACTTCCAGGGCACCTCTGCACAAACAGGGAGCAGAAGAAGGTGGGAGCAAACTGGTGTGTGGGTTTGGGGCTCTGGGAAGAAGGAGAGCTGCCGCCACAACCTCGCGCCTAAGCGAACAAACCCGGGCACATCCCCGGATCCGGGGATGGCAAAGCTGCAGGGAGCTGGCAGGGGCTCTGGGGGCACAGCACCGCTCAGCACCCACGGCCTGGGCCCCTGCTGGAGAGAGGCTGAGGCAACACAGAGCGCTAACCCACGGCTCTTTTACCTTGTCCACGCTCCAAGGGGACAGGCCCTCCGCCTGGCATCCCAACCTGCGGCTGCATCCCACCTGAGAGGGAAGGGGCAGAGATCAGAGCCCTCCTCGGCCATCTCTGCACCCATTCCTTTGGCCCCAAATACTGCACCCCCTCCCAGGTGGTTAATTTTCTTAATTTCCCCCCATAGAGGTAAGTCACCTTTCTGGACCACCACTGGCAGCAGCCACAACCACAACACACGGTACAGGACTACGAGAGCTCCCACGGGCCAAACCCTCTGATTTTAGGGGGAAGTTGGAAGGGGAGGTGTCTCCAGAACACACCAAAAGCCACACACTCACCTCCTGGAGCCATGGGGCCGGGGCCTGGGCCCTGCACGGGGGCAGCCATCTGTCCCGGAGCCGGCACTCCTCCCTGCATGGGGGGCTGCATCAGCGGAGGAGCGCCGTTCACGTGCATCCCACCCTGCCCAGGAGAGAAACCAGACCTCAGGGAAGCCCCACCACCTGGCCACACACACCCCAACTGGGAGAGCTGGAGCCAGGGACGCCCATCTCTCCCCCCCTCAGCACGTGTGACGTGTCAGCTCTTACTATGGGCTGTGGCTGGGACGAGGGGGTATTCTGTGGGTTCAGCTGGGCGTTTGGCCCTGGCCCAGGCCCCGGTCCCGGTCCAGGCCCCGGCCCTGGCACTGCCTGCTGGTTGCCTGGGATCAGAGGAGGAACACTGGTCTGGCGATGCAGGATTTTCTAGGGGCAGAAGAAGGAGAAAGGAGTTCTTTTTCCACCCTCCCCTCCACAACAGGCTGCCACCGATAGCCTACCGACCCCCGATGAGGCAGGAAGGGACAAACCAGGGCGATCTCCGGGTCGACGATCCTCATGACCACCTGGGCCTGCAGCAGGGCGTAAGCCAGCTGGGGGTTCTGGAGCAGCATGTTCCTGGCTTCCTGGGGGCTATTCTGGACACACAACTGAGAAGACACAGGCAGATCAGAGCCCTGGTGAGGCACAACAGGGGCTGCGAGGACACGGGCAACGGTGGTAGAAGCCGTGCGCAGGCAGAGAGCGCAGCTCCCCCCTTCACTCACCTTCATCTGCTTCATCAGCTCAAACATCTGCTCGGGTGGCAAGCTGGCTACTGCCCGGCTGATGGACTCGGGGGCATCTTCAGGACTGACAGGGTCCCCGTAGGGTGACTCTATGATGGGTGCACCCGTGCCCAAGCCTGAAACAGAGTTTGTCACCTCGTACGGCAACATGAACCAGCCGTTTTTAACAGGCTCAGCAGAATCACTGACAAAAATAGACACCCACACAACAAACAAGGAGCATCATCACTAAACCATACCTCCCAGCACTACATCAACCCGTCTTTTGAACACCTCCAGGGATGGGGCCTCAACCACCTCCCTGGGCAGCCCATTCCAATGGCTGATGACCCTTTCAGTGAAAAAATTTTTCCTAATATCCAGCCTGAACCTCCCCTGGCACAACTTGAGGCCATTTCCTCTTGTCCTGTCGCCTGTGACTTGAGAGACCGACCCCCATCTCTCTACACCCTCCTTTCAAGGAGTTGTAGAGAGCAATAAGGTCTCCCCTCAGCCTCCTCTTCTCCAGGCTGAATAACCCCAGTTCCCTCAGCCTCTCCTCACAAGACTTGTGCTCCAGACCCCTCACCATCTTTGTCGCCCTTCTCTGGACCCGCTCCAGCACCTCAATGCCTTTTTTATGGTAGGGGGCCCAAAACTGGACACAGTACTCAAGGTGAGGCCTCACCAGTGCCAAGTACCAGACCATTACAGGGAGAGGGAGGCAGTGAAAAAAGGGAGATCATCTGGGAGAGACAACACAGAGCTGAGCCCACCCACGGCTCTGCAAAACTGCTTGCTCTGCGAGGTCTCCACCTCGCCAGCCTCGCGGAAGGAAGAGGGATGCTTTGTAACACTGAAAAGGCTGGGCCCAGCACAACATCAGCTTGCTCTCCGCCACAAAATTCAGACTCACTCTTCAGCTCCTCCTTGTTCTTCTCGCTGGCCGCGTTGTCGACGCGCAGGGCCCTCCCGCTGAACTCTCGCCCGTTGAGGTTCCGCATGGCGCTGAGGGCCGTCTCCTGGTCTTGGTACTCACAGAACCCATAGCCCTTTGGTTTTCCTGTCTCCCTGTCATACACCAGCCTGCACAGCGGGGAGGAGAGAACCGCCACTGCTCAGGGCAGTGCAGGCATTGAGCAGCGCCCACAGCTCCCCATTGCTCAGGCTACTGGGGGACACCACACAGGAGCAGAGTGAAGGCACCAGGGTCAGGTCAAAGCACACAACAGCCAGTCAAAAGGCCTCCTGGACTCAGGCTGAAGGGTATTCCCACACCTCTGGTGTCCAGGAAGGCCACCAATGCCACGCTGTGCCTCCCGTGACCCCATGAAGGCAGCCCCTGGGGACACAGGACTGGACTGGCTGCTCCTGCAGCTCCTAAGCCCTTAACTGAGACTCTCTGAAGCCTGGTGCCAAGTCAGGGAAAGAGCCCTGCGGAGCCACTGGGATGGGAGTGCTCCACACCCCCCTTCTCTCCACACAGAGCCTGATCAGGACCCGAGGACTCATCCACCCCAGCTCTACAGCAGGGCAGCTGCCTCCAGCCTGGAGCACTCTGCCTGCATTCAGGCTTGACCCATTAAGCCCTACACCTCCAGGCCACCTCAGTGCCTGCAAGCCCTAGCCCAGCTGCCACAGCCTCACAAATCCCCCCCCTCAGAAACTGCCCTGCTCGATGCTGTTCGGTGGAAGGCTGGCCCTGCAACAGCACAACCTGACACGGCCCCACACCATCCTTAGGGCTTAGGGTGAGACTCCCCTGGGGAACTGGGGAGGTGGAGTCCTCCCCATACAGAATGATGGCGGTTGGAAGGGACTTTTGGAAACCATCTACTCCACCCCCCCTGGCCAGAGCAGGTCACCCAGAGCAGGCAGGTTTGGGATACAGATGGAGACTCCACACCCTCTCTGAGCAGCCTGTTCCAGGGCTCTGCCACCCTCAAAGTGAAGAAGTTTTGATTCATGCTGAGAAGGAATTCCCCACACTCCAGTTTGCACCCGTTGCCCCTTGTCCCGCCGCCGGGCAACACCGAGAAGAGCCTGACCCCATCCTCCTCCTTCCCCCTAGGTCTGCTCTCCCCCAAGCCTCGCAGCCCTTCCCCAGCAGAGAGATGCCCCAGTCCCTTCTCACCTAAAGCTGACCACGGGTCCGACCTCCGAGAAAATATCCTTCAGCTGCTCCTCGGTGGCTTCGTAGGGGATGTTCCCCACTGTGAGAGAGAGACGGCGGCGGCCGCCGGTCAGCGCGGAGGCCGAGGGCTGCGCCGACACCGGTTCCCCCCCCCCCCCGCGGCGGGGAGAGCTCGTCCCACTCGTCCCGCCCGTCCCCCGCCCCTCTCCCGTCCCTCCCCCGCGGCTCTCACCGAAGACGGAGCGCAGGGAGCGGTCCACGGCGGGGTCCCGCACCGACAGCCCCGCCATCCCGCCGCCCGGGCCTCGCCGCCGCCGCCACTGCCACTGCCACTTCCGGTCCCTCACTCCACGCGACCCCCCCACTTCCGCTTCCGCCCACAACAAACATGGCGGCGGCGCGGCCCGGAGGGGAAGGCGCTCCGGCGGGAAACAAGGACCCGCACCGCTGCAGCCGGCGGGCCGCGGTCGGTAGGAGCGGGGAGAGGGACGGGAGGGGCGGCCGGGGGGCGCCGGGTCTTTGGGGAGCCCTTCCTGGCACAGCTGGCCGTGGGGTGCCGGCTGCCGCGGCCTCAGGGGTGCGGCCCCGGGCACCGGCCCTGAGGCACAATCCTCCCGGTGTGCCGTTCCCCCCACCCGGGCAGCCCTTCCCCCGGGCACCCCGTCCCCTGGGGCACCCCACCACTGGGACATTCCCTGGGGTACTGCATCCCCAGCCCTCACCCCAGAGTACCCCATTGCCTCAGGCACCCCATCCCAGGGACACCCGTCCTCCTAATCCCCTGGGGCACCCTATCCCTAGGGCACCCCATTCTGTGGGGTACCCCATCCCCAGGAACACCCCATCATCCCCATCCCCTGAGATACCCCACCTCTAGGGCACCCCATCCCCTGGGCTACCCCATCACCAGGCATCCCATTCCGTGGAGTGCCCCAGTCCCCACCCCAGAGTACTCCATCTCCTGAGGACACCCCAGTCCCTCGGGGTATCCCCCCCAGGGCACCACAATCCCCTAGGACACTCCATCTTCCAGGGTATCTCACCCGTGGGCACCTCAGTTCCCCAGGGCACCACAATCCCCCAGGACACCCCACCTTCCAGGGTATCTCCCCCGAGGGCACCTCAGTTCCCCAGGGCATCCCATCCTCTAGGCACTGCATCCCCCAGGGTACCCCACCTCCCCGGTCACCCCATCCCCATGGCAGTGCCAAGGCAGCCAGCCCCCTGCCCTGGGGTGCACCCAGGGCTCTGATGCACCCAGCGTGGTGGTGCCCCATCAGCCCCAGCTTCCTCCTGTCCCTTGCGAGCCTGACACCCTGTTCCCTCCTGGCAGGTGGCTGTGTCCCTGCTAAATGGTGATGTCCCCCGCCCTGGGGATGGAGGCAAGGGGTGTCCCCGGCCCCGTCCCTGCACTGGCCACGGAGCCACGGTTCGCCCAGCGCCTCAGGTGAGCCTGGAAGGGGGAACAGGAGCCCTGTGGCTGCTCCAGCAGGGTGCAGGCATGGCTGGTGGGGAGGAGAGCTCAGAGGGCCAGCCCCATAGCCGGGGGGGGTGGGAGGAGGCTTTCTTCCTTGTGGTGGGGTGGGCTGGGGAGGGCCTGACCATGCCTTGGCCTTGCAGGGAGCATTTGGAAGAGGAGCAGCTCCTGGATGGGCGCTACCGGCTGCAGGAGGTGCCAGGAGGCCGGGTGGCCCTGCCTGTGCTGGAGGAGAAGCTTGACCAGCTGCAGCTGCCCCAGGAGATGCCCTGTGAGCTGCTCCACATCCAGGTTGGGAGAGATCCCCCCAACCCTGATCCCTGCCCTGGGGTGGTGGGGGGGTCTCAGGACCAGCTGCAGCTGCCCCAGGAGATGCCCTGTGAGCTGCTCCACATCCAGGTTGGGAGAGATCCCCCCAACCCTGATCCCTGCCCTGAGGTGGTGGTGGGGTCTCAGCCCCACATAGAATCATAGAATGGTTTGGGTTGGAAGGGACCTCAAAGATCATCTAGCTCCAACCCCCTGCCATGGGCAGGGACATCTCCCACTAGAGCAGGTTGCTCAAGGCCCCATCCAGCCTGGCCTTGAACCCCTCCAGGGATGGGGCAGCCACAACTTCCCTGGGCAACCTGTTCCAGGCTCTCACCACCCTCATGGAAAAAAATTTCTTCCCGAGATCTAATCTGAATCTTTTTTCTTCCAATTTAAAACCGTTTCCCCTTGTCCTATCATTACCCTTCCTGGCAAAGAGTCCCTCCCCAGCTCTTCTATAGACACCCTTCAGGTATTGAAAGGCCGCTATAAGGTCTCCCCGGAGCCTCCTCTTCTCCAGGTTGAACAATGCCAGCTCCCTCAGCCTGTCTTCATGGGAGAGGTGCTCCATCCCTCTGATCATCTTTGTGGCCCTCCGCTGTACCTGTTCCAGCTGGTCCATGTCCTTTCTGTGTTGAGGACTCCAAAGCTGGACACAGAGCTCCAGGTGGGGTCTCACGAGTGCAGAGTAGAGGGGCAGAATCACCTCCCTTGCCCTGCTGGCCACACTTCTCCTGATGCAGCCCAGGACACAGTGGGCTCTCTGGGCTGCCAGCGCGCGCTGCCGGCTCATGTTGAGCTTCTCATCCATAAGCACTCCCAGGGCTGCTCTCCAGCCAATCTCCACCCAACCTGTATTTGTGCCTGGGGTTGTCACATGCCATGTCCCTCCCACAGGACCCCGTCCCCTCCAGGGCAGCCCGCAGGCAGACACCCCCCAGGAAGCTGCGGGACGAGCTGCGGCGGCTGCTGGGCGAGAGCTGGTGGGAGGAGCTGGAGCGTGATGTGCCACGCGCCTGGCAGCGCCACGGGGACCTGGTCCTGCTGAGCGAGGACAGCTTCAGGGCTGCCCCCTGGGAGAAGCTGGGTAAGGGGGAGTGGGGTCTGCCTGCCCAGATCCTGCCCACGCGGATGGCACGGCCTTTCCCAAAGCTCCTGGGATGGGGGGTACGTTGCAGGTCCGGAGCTCTGGGAGACAGTGGCCTCGGCTCTGGGTGCCCGGCGGCTGGCCAGGCGAGGACGGGTGTTGCCAGATGGCATGCGTTCCCCCAGTGTCACCCTGCTGCTGGGCCAGGATGGCTGGGTGGAGCACGTGGACAACGGGATCAGGTAGGCAGGAGCCACGGTGCAAGAGGCGGGCGGTGTGGGGAAGGGGCCTGCCCTCATCGGGCCGGTGGTGTCTCCCAGGTACACGTTCGACGTGACCAAGTGCATGTTCTCGCCGGGCAACATCACGGAGAAGCTGCGGGTGGCCTCCCTGCCCTGCTCCGGGGAGGTCCTGGTGGATCTCTACGCAGGTAACGAGGATGGTGGAAGGGTTTGCCGGGCAGGCAGGCAGGCAGAGAGTACCTATGGCATCCAGATGGTTTTCAAACATCACTTCCAGCCTGGACTTTAAAAATAGCCAGGTTTAGCTCCTGCTCTTTGTGTGATCCCTCAGCCAACCTGGCACTGCTGTCCCTCCTGTGTCCCTCCTGCATTTAGACACCTTACAGTCAGGCTCTGCAGAGCACTGCTCTGTACCCGGATCATTTGGATCCATGGAAAAGATTTGCCCTTGATATTGTTTGTGAAAAGCTGCCACAGATGTCCTGAGCCTGTTCTGATGCACTTCCATGATGAGCTGGCACTAACTGAAGTGTCTGTGCTGTGGGATGAGTGGGGAGATCACATTGGGTGTTTGTGTGTCAAGAGAGCCGCTGTTTTTGTGCTTGGGGAAGGTCGTGCTTCCAGTTTGTACCTCATAGAAAATATGTGGCACTCAAAAAAACCTCTGCATTAATAAAAACGTATGGCAGTCTGGGCACTTCTGCACAGAGTCAAAGTGGAGCAGGGCAGGTCTGGGAGCTGATGGCCAAAGACTGAAGGTAAAATAAGCTCCTCTGTAAACATTTTTCAAGATAGATTTTGCTTTTAGGGAGGAGGTGTGTGTGTGTGTGGGTGAATTTCCATTTTCCCAGTGTCTGGGCTTGTTCTGACCTAGAGCAAAGCAGACACAGAGGGCCAGGGCTGCAATCTGCATCCTGCCCTGCCCCCCCGGTGGTGCCCACCCCCTGCCCTCAGCCCCTGCCACTTCTCCTTCCCCCCAGGCATTGGCTACTTCACGCTGCCCTACCTGGTCCACGCGGCGGCCGCCTTCGCCCACGCCTGCGAGTGGAACGGCCACGCCGTGGAGGCCCTGCAGAGGAACCTGGCTCTGAACGGCGTGCAGGACCGCTGCCGTGTCCACCACGGGGACAGCCGGCAGGTGAGCCGTGCCCACGGGCTGCGGTCCCTCCGGCCCCACGCGGCGTTCCTCTCACCTCCCCTCTCCTTCCAGCTGGAGCTGCGGGACGTGGCCGACCGGGTGAACCTGGGGCTGATTCCCAGCTCGGAGGAAGGCTGGCCGGTGGCCTGTCGTGTCCTGAAGAAGAGCACGGGTGGGGTTCTCCACATCCACCACAACGTGGAGAGTCCCCCGGCACCGGCCCCAACGCAGAGCCCGGTCCTGCGGGCTGAGACAGGGTCTGCAGAAGGAGCTGGCTCCGATGGAGAGGTGCGGCGGCCAACGGAGGACAGCGGGAAGGTGCCCCCGGGGGCCAGGATCAGGCCTGAGTGGCAGAGGTGGGCTGAAGCCACGGCGTCACGGATCCGGGGGCTGCTGGCAGAGCTGCACGGGCAGCCGTGGCGCACCAGCGTCCTGCACGTCGAGGCGGTGAAGTCCTACGCGCCCCACGTGCATCACCTCGTGCTGGACCTGGAGTGCCGGCCCACCTTGCCCACCTAGGTGGCCACGGGCCCTGGTGTGGCTCCAGCTCCCACAAAATGCTGGCCGTTGGAGCATCCGTGGCCAGGAGATGGTACCATGTCCTGCTGCCAGCCTGGCTGTGCTTTTACATCCCCTCGTTCCTGCGTGCCTTCCAGTTCCCAGGGCACCGAGGGGTGTGCTCCCATGGGAGATCCCATGGCCTGGCATGGAGCCCGAAGCTCTGCCTGTTGCTGCCCAGATCATGGACACAGTGGTGGCACCTTCAGCCCCATTTTCACAGGGGGCTGAATAAACCTCCAATTCCTGCCAGGCTTCCTTTCAGTGGGACAGAGTTTGTGGTTACATTCACCAGTGTGGTGGAAACAGGTCTGTTCCTCTCGGTTTCTTCTCCCCTTTTTTGCAGAAATAGAGATGTTTCCCACCTCTCTTGTTGGCGTCCAGTTAAAACACAGACACCAGTGCGAGCAGAGGGGGGGTCTTGCTTGGGGGGATCAAAGCAGTGCCATGGAGGGGCTTGGGGAGAAAAGCCTCTGCCTGCGAGCCCAAAGCCCTCCTGTCGCGTGTGTACCCCCTTAGCAGGGGCACCCCTGCCCCAGGAGGGGTGTCTACCCCTTTGGTGTCACCGGGGGGGTCTCCCCCATGTCCGTGTCCCCTCTCCTCCCGCAGAGCGAGGAACCTCGAGGGCAGGGCCGCGTCCCCGTGTTGGCTGGTGTTCTGGCCCCGTCCTGCGTGGCCAGAAGCCACTTTCCCGTGGCGGCGAGCCCCACGCCTCATCCTGCCACGTCCGGGGG